TTCTCAGCCATAACAATCTTAACCTGTTCAAGTCTAGGATTAACTCTTATCTTCCCCACATATCCATATCGATTTTATCTTTTAACACTCACACAAAAAAACTCCTTCAGTAACCCTCTACCTCAAGTGATTCTCAGGCCTTGTATAAGGTGAACATTAGAAAAAATATACATATGTAACAGCACTATTTTATCTTACAGTCATGTGCATATATGCAAGAAATGTAATTCTTTGCTATGTATATTGATGTGTGAATGTTTATTGAATGATTGATTTGTTATCAACCTTTTGCTGGTTATTTAAAGCCAGCAAATATATATTTTTTTTAAATTGTAAGAATTTTGGGGGAGATAATAATTATTTACTGATGCAAGTTCTACTATATAATCCATAGCTGGGCGGGGAGAGGTGGATTCATACCTTTCCCGAGGGTATTTGCCTGATAGTGAATATAACAAATATGACTAGAATTAGAACTTGGCTCTCTGTTTTCCAATTTTGAGCTGTTTACACCACCCTTGTACCCAAGATTATGACACCTGGTATTCTCAACTGGTCACCCATCTAGGTATTAATCCGGCCCGACATTGCTTAACTTTGGTGATTGTACGAGAAGCGTTGTTTCAACATGATATGGGCATAAGCCTGTGAGTGTTGTGTGTGTGTACGTATGAAAACATTTTTAAATGTTTAAAGTGTAATTCTGGTGAATCATGCAGTCTTGTCAGTTTAAATTTTCTGGTATCTTTGATACTAAATTTACTCATGTGTAAGAAACTGTATCTGATGCAATGTGCACATTTGACATTTTGACTACATTCAAGATGACGGATCATAAAAAAGTGCATGGTGTGGAATTAAATTATCAATTTTTTTTTTTTCTTTTTAATACTGGTCAGTCCGATAAGGTCATATTGGCAGCTGATGTCAAAAGCAACCTTCAGTCTGTTGTTAACTGGGACAAAGAATGTCTTGTTAAATTTTACAACTCCAAAAGAAAATTGCTCTTGATTAATCATCTGACAGAGCCCTTTCTGCCTTCTAGCAGCATGGCTGATGCTAACCTTCAAGAGAGTGACTTGTTTGTACCTTCTTGGGCTAAAACTCTCAGCTGACATGAAGTGGAAAGATTATATTGAATCAATTGATAGGTCAGCTGCTAAGAAGGTTGATTCTCTGTGTCGTGATAGATAATTTTTTCTCACCATTATCTTGCATATTTTTAAGTCTACTATTCATCCATATTTTGAATATTGTTGCCAAATATGGTCTGGTGCTCCTACTATAAATTTAAATATTCTTGAGGAAATTCAAAGTAGAATCTGTTATGTCATTTGTCCCGACATGGCATCTTAGATTCAGTTACTTTCGCACTGCCATAATGTCGCTTCCCTGTGCTTTTCTATAAATACTTTCATGGTAATTGTTCTGATGAACTTTCTTGTATAGTATTATTTAAATTCTGTATTAATTTTGTCCAGTTAACTGACGTTTCTGTTGTGATTAAGGATTGTGGGTTTTTTTTTATTACTAACACTATTTTGTTTATTTTCTTGTATATAAAATTGTCATCATTGTAAATATTAATTGGGGTTTAATTTTTAAATGTTGTTATTTTTATTCTCCACCCCACAGAGAAATTGTACATATGGGAATGAGTTAGAACTACATAGAGACTTTGTGGTATTATGGTGACTGTAGTAAGAATGCTAAGTAAGAATGTGTTACTTTGGTGTAGGGAATACTGTGGTATGTTTGAGTCAGTAAACATGGCTAGCTAAGTCTTAGATAAAACAGATTGAAGGCCAGTCTTCCTCTATCCCTCCTTTTGGCCTTGTGCCATATTTTCATATTCTCAAAGTATATACTATTCTCCTCTATAGTACCTAGACTCTGTAAGTAAGTGCTGTACTAGAATTGGTGACATTTGTTGAAAGAATCTTTTACATGGTTTAATTTTTCATTTTACTGTTTTACCTTTTTAAATCATTTAGAATTTCCTTTTTTAATTATGGAGGAAATCACTTGTTTTTTTTAATGTAAATCATTGTTGATTGAACTATGAAAATTAAGTGTAAAGAATTAATAGGTATCCATCCTCACGATGGAGTCATGGTTAACATACCAGTCTTACAAATTATTATTTGTGTGATTCTCCCTGGGTGTCCCAAACATGTTGCTTTGTGCAAGATTAGTAAATATTTTATCCTTACCATGGCGCAGAGGTTATTATATTTATTTTTCAGCTGATCACTACTAAGAAGCTTGTGTAAATGGTTGATACAACAGGGATTAGAAGAGATAGCAAAAAGATAAAATTCACTAAGACACTAAAGGACAGGAAATTGTGGAGACCCATGATTACCCACATCCTCAAGGTACAAAGCACATAGAAGCAGTATGAGCATGTGTAAATGATTTAGGTAAAAAAAGAAGCTCTTGTAGATTTACGAGAAATGAAAACAAAAATCAGAACATGACTCTTTAAATGTTTGCAACACATAATGAGGAAAGAGGGCTTGGAGAATTTGACACTAACAGGATATACAGAAAAGACAAGAAGGACAGAGGAAAAACAGTAAGTAATCTATCAAACAAAAATGTATAAATGAATAACACAACAGGGAGGTGTAATAAAAGGACAAACATTGCTAAGAGCTGCCAAGGATAGAAAGAGTGGAGAGCCATGATCATTCACATCTGGAAGAAGTCTGGCATAAGGCAATAAATTTATGGGAGCCAGTGATGATCAAACTAATTACACAGTAGTAACAGTCTGGTTAGAAAACTTTTTTCCAGAGTGACAGCATCCCTAATAACTGATACCATATACAAGTTTTTCTAACTTGTTAACTAGAATTGAAGGAATTTGAAACCTGATATCTGTCTTTATTTTCACATGAAATAAGTAAAAAAAAAAAAATATTGGCCTAGGCAAAAGTAATTTAGGCTGCATGTGTTGTATCGTTTTTATGATGATAACCTGATGAAGCCCAAATCTCTTTAGACTGGTTTTGAATTCACCACTTTTCCTTCTCCTAGAATAGTTGAGTCCCAGTTTCTCCTGCTTTTTATCCATATCTGTGGGGAGAAGACATAGATTCATATCTTTCTCAAGAGTAAAGTAAGTGAATGTAATGAACTCAACTGAAGTTTGAACTCAGCTCTCCGATTTCTCAATCTAAGCCACCATTGCTCCACCGTGTCTCTGTTTAAATTATGGCTTTTTTTATTGCAATATAAATTCCTATTAAGTTTTTCTTTATCTCTGTGTAATTATATTTCTAATGTAGCCTATGTTTTAAGATTACCAGCATACATCTTTTTTATGTAGAAAAATAAGCTAAAAACCATTTTACGAGAGGAAAAGAACCGGTCTATTTATTAGGAATATTGCATTCTATCATTTTTGGATGATCTTAGGTTCCAGGATGAACTCAAATTAGCTAAAACCTTAAAGAAAAAAAAAAGTGAAGTATTTTGGACATTTGAAAATTGATAGATGAACTAAATAACTTTCTTGAAGTTGCATGACAAAAAAAAGATAATCTGCAAATGAATGAGAGACAGATATGTAATGTGATTGGCCCTGATCTGGCATCTCTTACAGATGTGACATCACTTCCTTCTGTTTTTTCTACAAATACTTTCACGGTAACTGCATGAATTTAAATGTGCTACTAAGTTGGCATCTCAGTCCCACCTTTTCACTGTCAAAATGGTTAAATGTAGTCATCTCTTCTACTCCAATAGCTTCATGTCTTGCACTTTCTGTCTGTGCAACTCACTTCCTCTTACTTGCTTCCCTGACAGCTATAATCTCCAAATATTCAAATGCAATGTCAATCAACATCTCCAGATGCCTTGATCTATTCCCCATCCTTCTCTTCATCCTTTCCTCTATCATACCGCTTTACTCTTGCTCCCACTCTCTGTAAACTCTTGCATGCTAGTGGCATTCCTGCCTTGCTTGGGGTGAAATGCTTAATGCAAAAAAAATGTTCCAAAAATGAAATAAAATAAGTGCTTGCTTTTGACCATTTTGGAACCACCCAACAAAAGTCTTTCAAGGAGTAAGTTGGCCATGTCTAAAGACAATTTCTAGATGGTAATGAAAGTACGATTTTCCAGGAACATCTCCTAAGATATATTGCTGGTATGATGTCACATACTGACATTGGAATAAAGTAACCTTAGCAGAGAAAAATTACATTTGTATCTTGTCTTCTTTGACAGTGATATCTTGCAAGAAATATGTATGTCTTAGGTGTTCTTACTTTGGCAGTGTCTAAAGACCATTTGTCAATGATGATGAAGATATTATTGTCATGGAGCAACTTCTAAGATATATTTGGTTTTGGTGAAGCCAGTTTTCAGACAACTAGACTGGTGGTAAGATCTCATCAATTTACAGTTGAGCTGGCTAGATGTAGCTGTAATTACTATGCTAACAGTTCTCAGACTTGTAAAATTCCCTTCCAGCTCCATGCTTTTCAGTCAACTTTAATCTGCCAAAAATTGAAATGCAATATCAATCGCTATCTACTGTTCTCCTGATTACTCTTTTCTCTTTCCACCCATTATTGATGTTTTAGTTTCTAATTCTTCCCCACCCTGTAACCCCTTGCGTTTTAGTGGCTTTGCTTCTGGGGAACTTGTTTAAAAATATAGAAAATCTCTGAAAGTTTGGAACGGTATTATCAATTGTTTTAGTGGTTGAAGAAACATTTTTTTTAATTACCTATGTATGTTGCACAAATCCTTTTCTGTGTGTGAAGTGGTCAGCAATCTTGATTTGAGGAATCGTTTATGTCTCTTTTCCCACCAATATTTTGTGGAAAATAGGGTGCCCTTTAGTTGAAACTGCTTTCTCTGTGTTTATCTTACAAGATGATGTTATTATTTTTGACAATGTAGAGCACTGGAGACAAATAGGCAAAAAATTGTGTTCATCTTCACATTTTCTTGTTCTAAGGCCGACTTAAAAAGTGAACATCAATCGCATATTACGGCCCGTTGTTTAACTGACCTACACCTTAAGATATCTAGAGATAGCTAATGCTGTAATGATAATAATAATCATAACAGCGCTGTGTATGATGATTTACTAAGCATTTCTAAGTTTAGGATGAAGATTATTATGACGTTAGTGGTAAGCATTTCCCTACAAGGAAACATTTGACATTCATTGACTGAGCAGACAGTCATGCTTTTGGTTGAAATTTATCAAATCTTTCTCATTAAAATTTTTTTATAAATACTCTCATGGTAATTGTTCAGATGAGCTCTTCATTGTGGCACCTAGACATTTTGAATTTAAGCCCTGTACTAGACTGGCGTCAAGATCTCATCAGTTTAGAGTTGAACTGGCTAGTTGTAACGATAAATTTTATGTTAACAATTTCTTTTTTTGCATTTGTCGCTTGTGAAACCCCTTTCCAGCTCCATGTTTTCAAGCTAACTTTAATCTGCAAAAATTTAAATGGAATATCAGTCACTATCTACTGTTCTCCTGATTGCTCTTTTCTCTTTCTACTCATTATTAATGTTCCTGTTCCTAATTCCTCCTCACCCTGTAACCCTTTGCATCTTAGTAGCTGTACTGCCTTGGTTGGGGTGATACCAATTAAAAAATAAAAAAT